CCTGCAGCTAAGAACAGGAACCTGAGGCTATGATTCGCACAGATTCACTAAAACTGGACAATAGAAGATTGGAGACACGTTGCCTGGTCTGAAGAGTCTCGACTTCTGCTGGACATTCGGATGCTAGGGTCAGAATTTGGCATCAACACGACGAAAGCATGGAACCACCTTCTGGTGGTGTAACGGTATCCAGGATATTTTGTTGGCCCACTTTGGGTCCATTAGAGCCATTTGAGCATCGTGTCACCACCACAGCCTCCCCGAGTATCGTTCTGAGCATCTCCATCCCTTTATGACCACAGTTTCCCCTTATCTTCTGATGCTGCTTCCAGATTTAATGTAAACTAAAGAAGCTCAACTCACCAGATCGTTTCTGCGGTGCTTTGGTGGTTATTCAGGGTGTTGAGAGCAAAACCTCTGCGGCTCACTCACACCCCTCACCTTCTCCAGCACCATGGCTGCAAAGAAAACAAAAGAAGTAAAACAAGCAGAAAGCCTATCAATAGTGACTTCATTCCTGTATTTCCTCGAAAGTAAAACACCGTCCTGAAGCGTTTAACAGGTCGCGGTATATTTCTACACATATAGAAACATATGAGCAGCAAAGATCTCTCTAAGCATTCTCCACTACCTTTCTCTTGTTCTCTTCAGAGCTGAAGGTTCTTGTTTCATGAGCTAGACTCCAAGAAACTTTCCGAAAGAAGCTCTGTGCTCCTCTCACACGCTCGATGTGCCTCCAGAGTCTCAAACTATGCTTGACGGGGATTATGCAATAGCTGAACCCGAAAGTGATTGAGCCAGTTTAACTCCTCTGTTTCTCCAGCTGTCCTCCATTTTCTCTCCCGGGGTGTGTCTAGACTCTTCTGCGTGTCCAAACGCTCTGTAATCTTCTCGTCCTGAGCAAACCCTGAGCTTTTTATTCACTTCTGCACTGAGCACAGCTTTAAATAAAAGATGGAGACAGTGGAGTCATTCATGAGCGTCTGGAGTTTCCTGGCAGCTTTCTTTGGCTGTTACAAAGTTCCAGTCGTAACTCATGAAAAGAAATCAATGACTTTAGAACTTTAAATTCTGTTAGAGCAATAAATCAAGAAAAAGCAGAGATTTGTCATCATCTGATCACCCTTCACTAGTTCCAGAGCCTCTGTATAAACACAGAGAATCAGAAGCTACAGACTGTAAAAGAGAACTCTGCTTTTTAAAGATCTCCAAAAATCTTGAGCTCTATAATGTCTCCAGCTCCGCGTTTGATGGTCTGGAGGGCTGCATTTCTACTCCAAACACTTGGGGTTGATGCCAAACTTCCGGATGTACGTATGCTTTCTTTAGCAGGACTTCAGTTCTTCAGGGTTTTTGTTACCAATTGTTTTCTTGGTGATTCTCAGCTGCTTGAGACCATTGAGGAGATTCTCCATGAAATTCTTTTTGGTTCCTCAACGTTCACAGAAACTCAGTGGTAGATCTTGTTTGGAGCTCCTGACCAGTTGAAATCACCACAAGGACCAGTCTTCGGCCCAATTCTATTCTCTATTAGAATTAAAATGCTGGGTGTTATCGCATTTAAAGTTGAGGTAAATTATGAACTCAAAACCCCCCATTGTAACCATTTTTTGAGTGTACCAACTTATATTTGGTTATTTTTGGTGCAACCTTGCTGCACCGATGCTCTGGATGTTTGGAGTTAAGATTCGCTTTTGATTATTGTTATTGTTTTTTTTTTTATTCTTTTTCTGTTTTCCAGGTTATGGCTGGTGATCAGCTTTTCAGGGATCTCCATAATTAAGCAGGCTTAAATCCTCCCATGGGGCAATTGCCACACTGGCCACTCCTCTTTGTTTATAGAAGCTCCCCACGTGAATTGGAATTGCTGGTGTGGGTTTTTCCTCCGGGTTTTCCCAAATGTACAAAACATGCGGCCTAGGCTTTTTAATCACACTAAAACCTTGTAAATGACTGACTTCTGTTCCCCGAACCTTCCTCATACTAGGTCTAATTTACATCTGGCTCCTCCCTCTGTGAAGGTGCTTTGAAGCTTCTGCATTAAAGCACTGTATGCAAACGTTTTACTTGACGTTTGACCTCTCTGTAAGTAGCTCTGGAAGTTTGCATTTCATCTATTTCACATCGAGGATGCTGCCTAACATTGCAGAGAATGAAAAATATGCATCTGACTCAGGGTTTAGTTCCACCTGGAATGTTTTAGAGAAGTCAGTGAGAAAAAAACCTGGGATACTGTTTTGCATCATCCTACTCTCACAAACACAGCTGCAAACCAATCATTTCCAAAAGAACGCTGAACAATGCGTGTGATGAAAACAAACTGAAAAGAGAAACAAACTGTACCTGTACGGGCTCGTCTCAAACACACGTTTATCTCCACCTCTGAGAGTCTGACTGAAGATCCAGAGATGCGTTTAGTCTCAATCCTGAATGCTTGCTCCGAACCCCTGCTCCGTGTGCTCAACATCCTGCGGATCCACAGAGAAGGAAATGTTGAGCACATCTGGAAACTTAGAGAGGGAGTCAATAAACGTATGATGTCATGCTCATGACTCGAGGAGGTTAACTGGAGAGAAACTGGAGAGGCTGGGGTTTACTGGAAGAGTTGAAAACCTTACTGGCTCTGTGTGAGCTTCCACTTCAGACTGATGATACACTGAACTTTTAGATTTCTTTGACTGATCTGGTTCTGCACGGCTGAACCCTGGGAGGAATCATGGATCTCATATTTCACTCACAGTTTATCTCTGGGCAGGGTGTGTGTGTCCTTCAGAGATCTGGGGAAGCCTGGTACACTATTGTCAGCTTCTTGGTGGTTTCTACTGTATATGAGTAACCACTGGAAAGTACCATGGCTTTTATACATTGGGTTGCCAGGTTGTGTGGCTTTACAGAAAACTAAGCTGATTAATACAAAATAACTTTAACCTTGAGACAAATTACCTGATACTTTAGACTTTCTTCGTTTTAGAAAAGCAAAGCAGTACAAATATGCATACAAAACAACGACTATATCTTGATAATAACTTTAGAATTGTAAAAAGTTATTTTGATAAAATGCATAAATTATTTCAATTGAAATAAAATAAATTTTTACCCTACCAGTTTTCAAAGACAATAAGTTGTGTATTACAGACGAAGTTAGATGCCAAGATATAAAGGCAGCTATTGTGAATATCCTCAGATTTCTTCAGCACAATGTTCTCTTTTGACAATTGTCATTAGAGCATGGGTCTCAGTCCATCGCTTTCATTGAGACCAACAGAGAATATTGTGTCTATGGAGCAAAGACTCTCAGATAAATACCGTATAAACACGTATAAACACATGTGACATGGGAAAACTAAGTTCAGAAAGTTAAACATAGTGTCATTTTGACGGAAAAAATAGGCCAGTCATTTGGTGTATAGTTTAAGCATTGCAGAAGGTGGATATTGCAATCTTAATTGAAAAGTGCGTTTTATTTCTGTCTTAAACTTGGTAAAATAATCCATACTGGACCCTACTGGATAAAATATGTTTTTACATAAAATATGTTTCTACATATTAAAACAGTGCTGTATAGGACAGACTTGGCGCCGCGTTGGGGTGTGGTTTATAAAAAGTAATTTATTTAAATTAACATTTTGCTACAGCTTTAGCTCAGAATGCATTGTCATGTTCCTATGGATGTGTTGGAAAATTACATCTTGACCGTTAGTATATTTTGATGACTTTATGTGAATTTTTACGTTTTTGTAGTATGTCAAATACAAGATGTGATGATGTATTATGGACTTGTAAAATATTGTATTTTATCTGGATTTCTCTCTGCGTCAGAGTGGCGGACCTGGCAACCCACGCAGGCGTCCATGAGGAGCACGAGGACGAGCCCGGAGTCAGAGAGAGTCAGGAAATGCTTTAGGTTTCCCGCAAACACACGCCAGAAACGAACTAAAATCTAACATTTCACAATGTTCATGTCGCTGATATTTGCTCTGGTTTTCGCTTTATTGTGTCAAAAAAGCTTCTGTTTTGGTGAGTAGCATCTTATTATTAACGTTATGCGGTTTGCTAACGGAGCCGTTATTACTCAACGGTCATTGTTTGTTTACCTTTGGAAAGCAGCTAAGTTTGACTAAATTTGATATAAACGTGTTCTTTAGTGCATGTCTTTGTGTTTAAATGTGTAATTTATCATTCACGGTTTGGTTATTTCCAATCATAGGCTTAAGGGAAATTGTATCGTTGCGCAGTTTCTTAGGAAACACACTTTAAAGTTCTTAAAAGAACTACAATTGTGCATTAAAATGAGTTGATGATCTAAGTTTATTGTTATATTTTTAAGGTTAGAGAGTAGTGTCTTGTAATGTTTATCCGAGTTCACATTTTGTCGCTCTAGCTTTGTTTTTGTAGTTTAATAATATATTTATAAATGTTAGCAGCCTTTTAATAATGCTTTACTTTAGCAATGACTCGAAAATTATTTTAACCACTTTTTTTTTGTTAAATTAAGTGTAAAAAATGTAGACACTTTATTTGGCTGCATATATTAACTTAGCCATTCAGTCTGCTGTGAAGCTAAAATTGATCCCAGGCGTGTCCTGTTGGCACTATTCAACCTTTCTCGCCTTTCTAAAGATTTAATCAGATTCCTCTGGTGGTAAATTCAGTGTTGTACATTTTGAACGGCACAAACCTGTGTAGTTTCCACCCCGGTAGCATTTCTGCTGCTTTGAATCTCACAATGGCTGGAATAAGCTCCGTCATCTGAAATGGAAGTGGGATAAGTGCCGGTTCACAAGTGCCAGAACTCTCCCTAGAGCTTTCCATCATCTGAGATATTTCAGGAGCAGCGATCAAGAAGCGTATGGTCACTCCTTCAGAGCTCCATTGTTCCTCTGTAAATAAAGGACAACCTTCTCTGCAGCACTCCATCAATCGTTTACATTTATATTTCTGCATTTATCCAAAGCGACTTACATTTGAATGAATGAACACATTTTTTCCTTTTCAGTTCTTGCTCTCTCTGGGATTTGAACCCATAACCTTTGCATTGTTAGCATAATGCTCTACCAACTGAGCCCTCACGGAAACACTTGGAGTCATCCGGCATTTTCCCACAATGTGCCTAAGTCAAATTCTGTGGTTCTGTGGAGAAAAGGAACAATAGGATCATGTTTAGCTGGAAACCAGGCTCTGCTCCGAGCTCATCTTTAAATCGAAGCACAGTGGTAGCAGCGTCATGCTGTGGAGATGTTCTTCAGTAGCAAGAAACTGGTTTGAGGGAAAGGATAGTGCAGCAATTTTCATCTTTCAGCAGGACAATGATCCTAAGCAAACAGTCGTAAGTAGCAAAAGAGTGGCTGTAAGAAAACTCTGTGAACGTCGCTGAGAGCCCAAACCAGGGGCTGTGCTTGAATCCCACCACACATCTCCAGTGAAGAACTCGTCTATGATGAAGTGTGATGTCCATCTGAGGTCCTCTTTAAGAAGAAAAGAAAATGTCTTGATTTTTCAAACAGTTTTTCTTTGTTTTTGTTTTTTTTATTTATTAAAAACTACAATGGTTGCTCAGATATATTTCTTGTGTTTGCAGAGGAAAGCACAAGATAACGAACTTATGAAAAATAGCAATATTGGCATTAAGAAAGTCATCACGAGTTTCAAGTTTCTGTTTTTCTTTGAAGCGACGCCGACAGAACAGATGAAAGAGATTTGATGAAGCAATGCGTGTGTGCGACACATCGCTCTTTAACCACGTGTGAACATCTTCATTTTCACATCCTGTTCATGCTGCGGTTTTACTCTGTCACATGAAAATATTACCAGAATCGACCCACAGACTCACACTGTAAGCACTACAACTCACGAGTCGAGGCTTGCGCTGACAATAAAGAGAGAGACCCTGAATGTTCTGTTGTAACCTTATATGATGAAGACAATGGAACAAAATAATGTGCATATCAAGCACTGCCGTTATGAATTTGTTGTAAAGATAATTTATTAGAGCATATTGTGAAGTAGTAAAAAAAAAAAAGTCCTCTGATTTCTAAGAGCAACATGTAGCTGCTGCAGCCTGCTCAGCAAAGATGTTCTGATAAATCATTTCCTGAGGAGATAACAGAGTGAAATATAATGAAACAAAACAATAATCACTTCAGTTTGAACTGATTATATTAAACTTCACAAGCAGCAGCAGTAATCTTCAGGAGAGAACACGTCTGAGAGCACGCAAGGGCTGTAGTCGAGGGGAGAAGTGAAGCTAGAGAGCAGAAATCACTGCGGCTCACAACAGGAAGTTGAGGATGCTGACTCAAAACACTTGAGTTCTGGTGTCAGAACCCGAGACTCTGGGACCTCAAACCCAACTTTTTGGGGGCCACCTGAGTTTGGGTCTGGGGGAGATATAAAAGAATATTAATAAGTTTGTCCATTTGCAAATACTGTAGATTTATAAGATTATTATACTCTCTGATTGCATTTGTTTTTTCACTGTACAGTCTCTTGTCTTGGTTATCTACTTTATTTATTTGTAACTTATCTCTTCTATTTGCACGATTGTATGTTTTGATCTAGAGCTCTCTCCACTTCGTCTCCTTGGATACGGTGAAATGAAAGTTTATTTTGACTTTGAAAATCCATAAATACTTCTTAAAACAAACTAAAACAAAAAATCCTTTATGTGACTGGAAAGTTTGTTAATGTCTATTTTGTGTTGGGAGTGGGGTCGTAATGTGGTTTACGAGAGTCCGGGAACAAGTTAAATGCAGATTTTATTTTCGCACTCCGTGATGCAGGAAAAAAACAAAACCAAAAAACCAAATGAACAAAGTAACAAAACCACCTTAAACACTCAGCTAAATAACAAAAAGAAAAACGTGCTAAAGAGCAAAAACCTATTTAACTAAACTTCTTCCCAACCTAAATGTCTAAACTCACGACAGTAAAGCTGTGCAGATGCTTTCAAAGAAAGCAATCTCACACAAAAAAGGTTATCAATAATCCAGTTTCACGCACCCCTCGAGGCAACAACCCAGCTTTCCCTTCCCTTTATCCACACTCCTGCGCTAGGCATAATTGGAGCAAACCAAGTGGAGGGGACAAAGATAAATACTCAATCGTTTAATTTAGCATCAGCTCATTTAACAAAACAGTCGCATCTCTAAACACTCTTATCTGAACGTAATAAACTAATCCACATTTCATATTCACAGTTAAAATCCTTAAATAAATACGAACCCCTTTCTCAACCTCATATTGGTCTAATCCTGACCAAGGGAAGAAAGTGGAGGAAGTGATGTCAGCAGGGCAATGTAAACAATAAACTCACTCAAAAATCAACGCCTTTTTCTAAATAACACAAATAAACAACAAAAGCACCAACAATAAATTATTATGATTACACTCCAAACAGAATTATGTGCTTTGAAACTGAAAGGCTGCACAGATCATGGGGAGGATGTCTTTGAATGGCGCGGTAGCATTGGGGCTCTATTTTCAACACATGGCTAGCACTAGCTCCAGGTTTGTTATCAATGCCGTGGATGTTTACCTCGACGTTTCTTTCCACGGGAGTCTCTCTTTCATTCTTAACAGGGCAGCCATGTCCTCTGCTCTGAGCAATGATCAGAATCGCCTGGAGTGGGAGGATGAATAAAATTAATTTATTTATTTAATTCACTGTATTTTTTTGCCTGACTTGTATGTATACTTTATTCAGTGCTTCAGGCTTTGTAGCTCGTTTAGTGAACCTTTTTTCATAAACTCGTTTGGTGACGTCTGAATGGAAGTCAACAGGAGCCAAAAGCGTAGAGTTTATCTCTAGCACTTTCTTCCAGTTCTATCTCTGATTTTACAGAAAACAAAACATAACTGGGGTTTTCATCCTCTGCAGTTCCTCCTCCTGTGATGGACCTCAGACTGGTGTGTCAGAACTTCGTGAATGTGCTTTACTGGAACTACAGCGATGCAGACAAGCAGCCGATGTTCACGGTCAATCTAGAAACTTATTTGAGGTAACAACAATGTAATTACAGTTCCTTTACATGTTTCTACCTGCGCATGCACACAAAGCACACTTGATGAATTAGGATTTCTACTTCAGAGCTTGATCATTATCTGAGCTTTCTGTGAGAGATGCTCACCCAAAATCAAGAAATGAGTTAAAATGTTTAATCAGAGGCAACGCTGGGTCGTTTGTTGAGTTTGTTTTGTTCCCTTTTTGTACTTTGTCTGATTGTTCTACAAGTCTGATCTGTTCATAACTACGAGTCAGAGACAAGTCTCTCCAAATACCCATGAGTCTGAGAGAAGTTAGAGTACGTGTGTAGTTCAAGTTCAATCACCTACTGGATGCTAAATTTGAACATTTTCCCAGCTCTTGTGTAGATTAAGTTTTTTTTTTGTTCTCTCTGATTGATCTCCAGTGAACCTGAAACACTGGAAACCTCTGAACTGTTTCTGGACATCAGCAGTATCAGCAGGGATGTGACTGACAGCTATATCGTATCCGTGTCTGCAAGGATTGGAAGTGAAACCTCAGAAATGTCCTCCATTAAGTTCAGCTACAGCACAGACATGTCTGACGGGAACACACAGATGTGTAAGCACTTTACTCCATAAACATTTATTTTATTGTACTGGACAGAGAATCAGCTCCTAAAATTTGTGTCTAATGGTTTAGTCCTTAAGGAAAAGATCTAGAGGCTTCAAGATCTTTTTTATATTCAAACAATTTGGTGATTACTTTGAAATGTCTTTGTAAGAATCTTTGTTTTTTTTCATGTTTTCTCCATATAGCCATGAGTTGAGCACAGGGCATTATTTTAGCTGTAATCAAAGAAAGATTTGATAATATCAGAATAACTAAACCTGTGAGATTCATTGAGATCAGTGCTAATCGTGGAATGTGTTCAGAGTTTATTCTCCAAGCAGGCATCTCTGTTCTCCTGGAACACTTCTCTCTTCTTTCACTGAATCATGATAAGTGTTTTCTTCAGGCTTGCTGGACTTCCCGGCTGTGAACGTCTCGATCAACAAAGACCTGATGGAGGTCTCCTTTCAGCATCCGTCCTTGCTGCACAAGCAAGATCTTTTCAAGGACGTCTTCAGCTACACAGTTTCAGTTGATGAGGTTGGATTTTGTCTTAATAATATTAAGATTAAGTTAATATAAAGGTAAAGTTAATATAAAAGAAAATGTTTAGTTTGGTCTCATCTTTACAAACTAAAGGAATTATCTGTGCTTCATGAGATGAAATTGTTGCAGCCACGTAGATCTGGAACGGTTTGGTACAGTTTCCTTTTCTGTTGCTCTTAAGCGCCTCATTCATGTTCACGCTGGATCTGGCTCGTGTAGCTTCCTGTTTAGGTTCATCTTACAAGTCCGAATCCAAAAAGCTACGAGTCTGAGTCGATCACTCACAGGTCTTACACTATTCTTAAGAAGGGATGTCACGTTTTTTTGCCTTTGAGTCCGAGTATCTGCTGATACCGAGTCCAGATTAGGAGTGGAGGGGGATGACTCCGCCTACCCCTGAGCTCTGTCACAATATTCAATAAAGCATGTCATTGTGACTGACCGTTGTTGTAGGGTTCCGCCGGTATTCACTGCTCGTTATGCCTGGAGCACACCTCATTGGGTTCTCTGTTGGTGATTGCTCTGTTGCGTAGCCGCTACTGTTACTGCATCGCAATTTTGTAGATCACTACAAGATATACCCGGGGGGCGACATCCAATCAGGTCTGATTTCTTTGTCCAACTCCTATGAGTCAGAGACAGCTTGAGTACCAGCGGAGACCAGTGGAAAAGCCCTCAAAAGGACGGAGTATTTCCACTTTGAATTTGAAACTAATGAGTTCTCAGTGCCATAAATCAAAGTGCTCTGTTCCACAGATCACATGCTAAGCCTTTCTTTAAATATGGCTCTGTCTTCAGAAAACCGCATCAGATGAATGCTTTGAGGAAGATGATCAGTGCATCACTCAGATCCACCTGAATCAGTCTGCGTTCGGACGGTGCTTGCAGCTGGAGCTCATGGGAAGATTCGCTTCCATCCCGTCATACACCAACAGAACCATCTGCACTCCACAGA